TATATATGTAGGTATGTAGGTATATATATATATGTAGGTATGTAGGTATATATATATATGTAGGTATGTAGGTATGTACACTCACACCCTTCTTACCTGTAATCCAGATAGGCGCTTCTACTCTGTAGTGGCCACTCCAGGGTTCTTGTGCTGTCATCAGCCCACAGCGACCAAAGGGCAGCTCTTCATAATAGCTGGCCACTAAATTCCATGCAATGGTTCTGGAGGAAAAGAGAGATTTTGCTTCATTCATGCGGGCAATACGAGGTAGTCACCTCCTCTGTTCTGTTTAATAAAGCAGTTAATAAAGCTGCTCTATTATTCACCTGTTGTGAACTAGTGAGTGCCAAAGGTCCCTTTCCTAACGTTCTTCCTATGGATTTATCTACATTCTTATCTACTGCTTCAACTGAAGACAGCAATAAACTAAGAATCATAGGCATAGCTTTCAAGTTATTTCCCTCTATTTTTTTTCCCCCTGAACTGTTGTGTTCTTTTTATGGCCATTCTCTTTTTAATAAATATCATCAGATTCTCAAAGACACCTGAACTCAGTTGCATCAACCAAAGGAAACACGGGAACTCAAAAACACACAAACCCGGGGGACTTCTGTCCCACAAGGGGAGAAGTCACTGGGCCTGGCACTTTACCCGCTTTGAACAGAGACTGATGGCAGAGAACTTCACTTCACCTTTTGTCTTACGACAGCAAACAGATACATGGTAAAAGGCTTTAGGTAACTCTGGTGCACAAGGCTGTGAAATGGAGCAGCAGCAACCACCACTTACGAGGTCATGTTCCCGTTCACGTAGTTTTGGTTCAGGATCCGAGCCCAACAGCCTGCACCGATTTCATCGTTGAAAGTACTAAAATCTTCTGAAGACCACAGCTTCTTCTGAGTTAATATAGCATTTGGCACCGTTTCTGTTCCAGGATAGTGAGCCCTACACAGTATTTTTCAAAAATAAAGAACACTTGTCAAAAAGAAAAAGAAATAAACAAATCCTGAAACAAGAAAGCTTCCCTCCTCCAAACAGCAAATGAAAAGCAATCATGTGCTTTGGAAAAGCAAAAACTAAAAATCATTAACAGGGATCCGTAGCATTAAATAGCTTCTCATTTGCATCACTACAGGATTATTTCCTCCAAGACATGACAGTACGTAAGTAGATCTAGCTTTAAACAGTCTTACAGTTTCTTAAAGCAGAACTTTCCCCTAAAATTTAGCTCAAGTACTTTCATCACTGCTGTGTTAAAGAAAAATATGCTATACTTTGCACTAAGTAACCCTCCTCTCAAAAAAAAAAAATCCAAGTACAAACAACACACTGCTAAGCTAAATACATACACTAAAACCTAAGCTATCAGCACAGGAAATGAAAGCACATAACTTTCCTGTACTATTACCCTGAAATTTAACAAATTTATGAATTTGTGAGCCAGGGACACATGAAATCCTATTTATTTCTTCCAAGTTAATGGTTTCATTTGACTTCCAGATTGGACCTTGAGCCATTTCTCAGCTTTCTAGTCCTCCACATATAACTACACTAGCGATAGCTTAACAGGAAGACTGTTTGTTTTCCACTTTAACAGGCCTCAGAGTACTTCAAGAGAACCCCTATGTCACAAGAGTAACAGCCTATTTTTGAAACATTATCAATTATCAGGTGTACTTTTTGTAGTGTTTTCACACAATTCCACAGCCTAACATAATTCCCCTGTTAAAAAATTCACTGTTCCCCAGGTTGGGCAAAAGTTTTGTAATTGCCAGTTACACTAGATCAGACATATTAAAGCAACTGTAATGGTACAGTCATAGTAGTAGTAATAATTTTAGCTTTAGTGCCAAAGGGTTTTCACTGTTTTACTCTCACACATCATGGCAAGGTTACAGAAATAAGATTAACATATAGGATACCGCCAACCCACTGAGCTTTACAGAAGAGCCTATAAGACAGAAAATCCTCTAAGTTTGGTTCTCAAGATCTTTCAACAATGATTTTTTGCAAACTGACCATCTACCATGACTATCTTTCCCATTTATCATGCTTTATAGGCACACAGGAACAACAGCTGAATACCCACAACTGCAGGTACCCTAAATCCATCAATCCCTTCACATCACTTTTTCTTGGGTAGTTTGCTTGGACATTATTTGGCACTGACAAATTTCTCAGTCTCTTCAGAACAGATCTAGCTAAGAACACTAATGCCTCTGTCCACAAAGGCTGAATGCCACCTCGTGCTGTAACTCCTAACATCACTGTCACTCTCAACACTTCCTATTTTCTTTCAATAAGCAACAAGAGGAAATATTGTTTTCTTCCCCCATTATCTTGAGCAAGAATAATTTCACCTTTATCTGTACAACAGGCAAAATTGAACTAATTTGTTTACACCATTACCAATAAGGCAAGATACCTAAAGTAAAACAAACGTAAATAAACAACTGTGGAACCTGCAAGCCTATTCCTGGAAAACAATGTTTTCAAGAGCTACACTGTCATTTAAACCTGCTCAGAACAGCGATACTTGTTTATACTTCCTTATATTTCATTTCACTGGCAAAAATTGATGCAGACAGAATACCTCTGAAAAGCTCTATCAGTCCATAACTGATTTTATGTAGTCACAAACTCCAGTTTATGCTTACATTTGAAATATTGTTTGCTTTAAAAAAAAAGCAAAGAAAACCATGAAGAGAAATGCACCACTGCTGTCTAGTAGCCAGCTCATTATCCCCTACAGAGTGTTTCAGCTCCCTGTTAAAGGTGAATCACAGCAGGGACTTTCCAGACATCTGGGGATTTACATCTGGCCAGTGCAAATTCTAACCACTTTCACCTATTGATCTACATATGGACCAAGTTTCCACCTGCAAAAAAGTATTAGGATACTTTTGTTGTTAATGTTTTGCAGAGACAAAAGAGGGTTTTGTTGCTGCTTAGTGCATGTTGTACATGACAATCTTAAAATGGCCTGTGATTGGAAAGTTTTACATACCTACTACAGGTCAGATATGTCAAGATGACTAGAACTCAAGTTGAAGCAGGAGCAGTTATGTATGAAGTATCTGATTAGGTTAGGCAAGTTTAGGCATCCTAATAATTCAGAATTATTATGAATAAATGAATAACCAGCAAGTCTCAGGCATTTCTATTCAGCAGATAAATCAATATTCAACCTCAAATTTAGTTTACTGCTTTGCAAAATATTACCATTATGTGCTGAAATCCAGAAAACAAGTCAGTTTGCTGCTGCCTACTGTCCAAACATACTTCTCCCACCACAACAAAACAGGAACTAAGAAAGAAGTGGTTAGGTTAGTTTAAAAACATAAGGTAAAAGTGCAGCCATAGCCAACAGGATTCTCGCCCATGATGGGAGACGTGTGATTACACGTCCAAGTCACCACCAGGACAAAAGTCTACATGACCTGAGCTGAGTTAGTAGGAGAGATTATAATGTGAGACTTTTCGTTGCAGATTAAAACAGAGAGATAAAGCTTTAGTTCTGCTATTTATAAATAAGCAAATACAGAAAAACACTAGTACAAACCACCAAGAGAGAAAATGAGAGCCCCCTACCCAATCACATCGACCACGCGGTGGAGCTCAGGGTCAAGCAGCAAGACAAAGGAAATGGGCTCCCACAGCCTATCGCTGGCTACGATCCTCACCTGCTGCAGACCATGCTTATCCAGCGTGTATCTTAACAGCTTTAAGAGAGGAAAGAACAGAGATGGGAGAAACAAAAAAGCTTTTCAAATTTTCAAATATTTGTTACTGGAGAAGGCAGTATCTCCAACACCAATTGAACATGTTTCAACTTTTTTTCTTCCCCATCAACCCCAGCAAAAACCCTTACACCAAACAAAATGTAACAAACCAGCACAAGAGGCCTTCCAGGCAGGACAAGTTAGCCATCTACTGCAGCAAACCCCAAGTTCATGCATGGCAAAGGGCAAAATGAAAAATATTAGGTTCTACTCCCCACATAAAGCTACAGATGAAGTTAAACAAAGGCAAAATGTATCCCATGTCATGCAAGACAGTCTGTTTGCAGATCAGCCATTTAGATGTTGCAGTGCTGAGAGCTAAGCTACAAGCGTGGACAAGTAATTACTGTGTAGTCCTAGTAAAAGCAAAGCAAACAAATAATTGAGAATAAAGTAGGGTGATTTCACCTATTCTCCCAACTGACTGACTATTTCAAGTATAACAATGAAGCAACACAACTGAGAGTTCTTCCTAATGCAATTAAAGAGAAAACCCTTACACTTATTCACATCTTGTTACTCAGCTGTATTTCATTTCAAGTTTCAAACCACAAACAATTTCTCAAGAGACACTTGAAGGACTTAAAAATCACTCAGAAAAATCTAGGGTTACACAGAAGTGACCCTAAAGGAGGCCGTTTCCTAAAATCCAGAAGTCCACACAGAACAAAGAGCAAGCCCCCAAACAGTCAGCTGCACTATGTACTTGTAATTCAGCTAACAACAAATGCCCAAGTAACTTGAAGCATTCTGTATACTTCTACAACCTATAATCTTCTCTGATAGGCAATATTAACTACTACAGAAAACATCACTTTAAAATCTTTTCTGCATATCAGAATCTGAACTAGTTTGTATGTTGCAGTTGGGCAGATCTAGTTTCAACCGTCAAGATTTCCTTCTCGAAGTCTTAATATCTTTGTCCAAAATGAATATCAACACATTTGCCTTGTATTTCCCTGATCATTTTACACTGGACTAAGGCAATATTTGGTTTATAAATGTGGCAGACAGACCAAGACTAGAGTATTTAAAGATTGAATGAGATTCTTGATAGCTAGAAAAAGGTAATTTACCACATCTGTCTTCAAGTAGGGAGGACCTGGGACACTGCAGGCCAGCCAACCTAACCTCAGACCCTAGGAAGATCATAGAGCAAGCTTTCCTAGAAGCCATTACCATGAACATAAAGGACAAGAGGATAACTGGAAACAACAGCAGGAATTTACCAAGGGCAAATCATGCCCAACGAGCCTCACTGTGTTCTGACACAAGGACTACCTGTGATGCTGTGTACTTAGACTTTGGCTATGTCTTTGGGACAGTCGTCCACCAAGGCGGGCAGCAAAGTCCAACCAGGGCCCAATTATTAATGATGAAGTTTAAGATATATCTCAGAACAGTAACAGTAAGATATACTGTGTAAATACAAAATCAAGAAATGGATATATGTGAAACAGAAGTGAAGATAATCTTACAGGCAAAATAGGGAAGCATAACATAGCACAGTTTAATAAGAATTTAAGACTAACTAGGAAAACAGGTCAAAGTCACAGATTTGGCAAGCAACTAGATAAAGGATATCTAAGACATACAGATAGAGTGTACTTTTAGCAGCTAACTAACTGAAGGACATATGCAGAGCCACTACTATCTTTTTCTAGGTCAACATGAACTCAGTATTGCAGTTGGTATCTTAACATTAGCACTAGATAGGATAGAGCATTATTCTCATTTTGCTGTCCATTGCTAACCCAAATTTCTTAAATGACAGCAAAGCTCCTGCACAGGAACACAGGAAATTTTCCTTTTCTTTTTTCTCCCCTTCTCTTTATAATCAGGCAGGAGGGTGGTAGGGAAGCAGCAATACCTACCCATGCACTTCATTAATGATACTGCAGTCACGAGGGTCCGCAGGGTAACTACCCTACATCTGGTATCTCCATTAGCTGATCTTTATAGCATTCAAGTGTTTTTATCCCTTTCAATGTGCTTCAAGTTATGAATTTGTTATTATATTGTTATTCCCATTACACAATACGGAACACTGAAGAACACACTCAGCACTCCACATGGTAAAGTGGTCCAATAAATAAAAGATCAAGAATTTGTATTACATGTTGACACTGAAAAGACTATAATTTATTGTAATCTCATCTTTTTCAAGAAAAAAAAATCACACCCCCCAAAAAGTGAACTTAAGATTTTTAAGATTTTAAGGTTTTCTTTTTCAATTTGTTAGGCTCTAAAGATAACTGCCAACATCTTGCAAAGAGATATATCACATATGCAGAGGAATCTCTCTCAAGATAAATATAAAATCCCTGATTCGTGCTTCTTTACCACATTAGTCAAACCCCAAAACACATCCACCACCTATTGTAACTGAAATAGGAACAGCAAGATTTGAAGATTGCCAACTAAATATATACCAATTTTTTCACTTTTAGTCAATAATCTGCTGCAGCCATTGGTAATTAAATATATACACACAAACACTGCTTATGTTGCAAGGAAAAGTTAAGGCAGGACAGAGCTTACAATATTTAAGCAAATCTTCTCAGAAGAACACTCCTCTGCATACACACATACAGTGGTCTCACTATGCAAGTTTCATTAGCACAGAAATTATAACTAAAACAGTTGCTAAAGCACTGTAATTGCTGAGGTACAAGTCTTGCTTACTCTAGGCAAGTTACATAAATACAACTATTATAATTTCTTATGAAATTACTGCACACTGGCATTGTCATCAATATTTTTCAAGTAATTGTTTATGGGCTGGATACATAAAAAAGTTTTCTTTACAAAAATCTCTGCTTGGCTGACCCGCAATGCCTTTTATACACTTGTTTTAACAATTATGAGTGCAAAACACACTCTTGGGGCTGAATGAGGGTAAACATAACACTAGGGATCACAACCATATCCTTACCATAGTAAGAGGCATGCAGGATAACAAAAATACAAGTGAAGAAATGCAGACATGCTTAGTTCATTTGCACTAAGAATGTGCTTTCATAGTTTTAAGAAAGCAGAGACAGGCAAGAAAGCTGGAGTAACAGAACAGATACCAAGCCAGCTGGCTAAAGGAAGGTAGTAAGAAAGTGTATTGTGGAAGAAGGGAACACACGAATCAAGTTGCATTTGCCACAACTGCAGCTCCTAGACACTGAAACTGAGAAGCTGCATTACTTCAGACCCAATTTTGGATGTGCATATTTACTTCTATTTCAGTCTCTGTGTATGCTTCTTAATGTCTACGAGATACAAGTCACAAATGGAAACTTCTAGCCTTAGGACATGACTACAAAGGGTAAGTAACAGGGAATTCTACAAATGTTGAAAGTCCTGGGTGAAAATCCAGCTTCATCTGAAACAAACGTAAATATTTAAGGTCAAGAATTCAGTTTTTTTTTTTTTCTGACCTTTAAGATATATAGGGAGATACACTAAAAATCTCCCACAATTTGCTAACACAGAAAGAGGAACTGGCTTTTAAGACTTGAAAGCAACGATGAAACACTGGTAAAAAGACCTTGTATGTGCACTGAACAGAAAGGAGAGGGGAGAACAGGAAAGAGTCACTACTGTAATGTTATGATCACAAAACAATGTTTAGGTAGAAAAATATGAAATAAGGATACAGAATTTCTGAAAATGGAGGTGAAGACTTGTTTACAAAAATAAAGCAGCAGTGTGCAACATTCCTCCCCTCTTCTCCCACACTTACCCAACTACCTGAACAGCATCATTAAGATAGGGATCAACTATCATCTCCTTTGAAATGCTCCAATCTCCATCTGCAGCGATGATGCCAACGTTCCTTAGACCCAGTCTGTCCAAAGACTGTCGAAGTACCTTAGCAACAGACAATACCACTTAAACTACAGCCTTCATCAACGAGGCAACATGAAAATATAAGATCAAAAACAATTTAAGGAGAAGTCACTGGAAGTAACTGTCTTCAGAGAAAAATGATAAGAAAAAAACATTTTTAAATGAAAGCCATAACAATAAAAATAATGCTTATGTTAATAAATTTAAAATGGCAGAATCAGAGATAACCACTACACAAAGAAAAGACTTGGATTATTTTTGACACCACACATATATCTAAACACAAACACTGCCTTCAGTCACTCTCAACATACTGACTCCATTCCTTGCATATAAATAATTCATTGGGTGTAGGTAATGGATTTATCTCAAAGCCAGTCACGCTAAGTTACCCTAATAATGACAATGACTGGAGTGTGGAGACAGACATATCTCCACAAGTGATTAGGGTGAAAGTTAACCCTGATTCTCTCCTCAAAAGCATGTGAGAAAACATGACTGAAGCTTTGAAACAGGAGAGACCTTGCAATCATGTAGGAGGATTATCACAAAAGGAAAATTTCTTTTTTCCTAGCCATTTTAAAATCTATAGGAATTAATTCTTTAAATGATAACTTCTAATAATCCTCTAACACTGTGGAGGAGAAAAGAGAGTATTTCTATTTGATGTAAACTTAAATAGGGACATGAGGCAAAAGTCCAAACACTGACAGCAATAGAACCCAAGATTCAGAGCATCAGGCAAAAAACAAAACACACCCACTATACATATGCTTGATTTGATGGGGGGGGGAGGGAAAGATATTGTAGAAGGTGCACAGACGAAGTAACCACACTGCTAAAAATAAATGAGTTTTAAAGACCAAGTTAACTAACAAAAACCCTAGGGAGTTGAGGTTTTTGAAGTAGTTTCCCACAATATTTTCATAGCTCAAGTGCAGACTGAGTACTCTACCTTACAATGAACTGCAAGTAGAAAAATTAAACAAATGTCAGTGATCAATCCACTAAAAAGAAAGATTTTCTAAAGTAAGATTCAGAAAATACTGTGATAGATATGATACTAATATATTTTTCTTAAAGACTGATAGGAAGCACATCCATCAAATTTGTATAGGATCCCAAGCAAGAAAGAATATGACAAGTTAGAACAGCCTGGAATTATTGACTTAGGACAGCAGAAATGCCCTAATAGATACAGCTCTGCACGGAGCAAGGAAACACTCGGCTTCAGCTCTGCTGAAATGGCTGAGGATTCTAGTAGTTGCCCAAGGAAAACCAGCACCTGCTTGGAGAAGGATAATACAAAGAGAAGGTTGCATCAACCGGGCAGTATGCAGAATACACCAATTAACCAGAAAGGACTTCTTAAATAGTTAAGACCTCAGCAGAACCCTATACTCCTGCACAGCTGGTTTCAGTAACAATCTGGATTCTTTCTATTGGCCCCACATAAGGGAGAAGAGTTAATGAACTACAACCTACAAAGCAAGGTGGTCAAGACCAGCGTTGGAGAACAGAAGATGGAGAGAAGATATGACAACAATACTCAAATAAGTGAATGACGGTTAAAAGAGGAAGATGTTGATTAGCTCTCTGAAGCAGCTGGGATCAGGAAGAAGATAAACATCCAAAGCTTATACAGCAAGACTTAGGCCAGAAAGCAACCTAGCCATAGAGATGGTTTAAGCAGAACAGGCTTATTCTTGCGGAATTTCTGCCTAGAAAAATAATTTCCAAGACACAGAACTGCGGACACTCACATAACACTCCATAACATATGCAGAAGGGTTTCTGCATTCCCCTACTCATACTCATGTTTATACAAAGATATTCCTTACTTTTTAGGATTAGTTTAAGATGACAGTATTAGAAAAGAAATGATTCAGTTGCTTATAATTTTTTTTCAGATTTTAGTGTCTCAGTTACATATATATATATTTATACTGAATAAGAAAACACTAGAACCTCAGTGGATGAAATAATTAATCTAGCTGTTCTTAGAAGTAAAATTCCATAAAACAATCAAAAACTCAAGCTAATCTATATAATTTACTCAAACATTACAGGCAATAACAGTACACATCTAAAGTCTTTGTCTAAATGGCTGACTGCAAACAGAACTATCATGTTGCTTAGAAAAGAGAAACAGAGGTTAAATAAAAGGCCATATTATATACTAGCCATATGGCCAAAAACATACAGTGGGAAAGAGCAACACTTTTTAGTAAATACCTTGGTGATTTTAGGATGAATCTTTCAACTAAAATTTTAGCTTTCAAGCTAAACGCTTATTCCCAAATCAGCAGTGTTTGGGAGGCTAACCAGTTCAGTGCTGCATCTCCACCAACGAACTGTTCTCCACATTCACTCTCCCCACATTAGGGAGCCAAGGCAAAGAGATGAGAAGGCTGCCAAGTGGCATTACATGGGACTGTGCTGCACAGCAGAGTATTCCTATTTCTATAATGTGCACAGGAAGCCAAGAAACAAGTTTAAAACGCTCATTAGTGACACAGTGAAATTAATCTCTTCAATAATTCCTTTTACAAACGATTCAAGTTTCATAGGGTTTCCAAGCAATATAACAAGCAGTCAAATAAAAATCACAGTTCAAAAGGAAAGTATCTACTTATCTTCCATCTTATTTGCATTCTTACTCTGGGCTTACTTACAAGCACTTCCAGGTCTGCCTGGTTTTGCCAAATAATACAGGATTTGTACTTGAAGACCCCTCCCATCAAACACACACACAGTTCCTCCTCTGCCCCATCACCATAACTTACCTACAATTAGGTTTACCCTGTGGAGACTATTAATATCCTCAGGGATTTCTCCATTAGCCTATAGCCTGATTTTTTTTTTTTTTTTTTTTTAAATGCAACCTCAAAAACCCTGACACCTACATGGCCCAAGCTAGGGAAAACAAGAAATAAAACACTAGAAAGCTTACTCTATTCTGCTTTTTAATAAAGGGCTAGCAATATGAACACTTTTTAAGAGGATTCTGGGCATACATATTGAACCAGTTCAGAGAGGAATTTAGGTTAATTCACAAACAAATCTGAACAGCTACATATCCAGTTTTGTTACTGGATATGCCCACAGAATGGACATATCTGCCCATTCACAGAATGGGCATTTCATAACTTTATGAAAGTAGTTGTGGAATGATGCACACATAACAGAACTTGGCCAAAGAGGAGGTAAGTCTTGAAAAATAGGTTACTGCGTCGACAATAGCCTGGTAGGTAAAATATACATGGTCAATAACATTTAACAAAAAAAATGTTAACACACACAACCCCCCCATACACACAACTGGAAACATGGGGTTTTTTGTACTAAGTACACTATATTCTATGTTTTCACAGAATTTTATACATGCCAGCCTCAATTTTTTTTGCTCTTATTGGAGGGCCTTATTTAAATGTTATACATATTCATATTCCTGTATTGTTCTACTAAAATTAATCATTGGACAAAATAAGCAGGAAAGTTGCCAAGAATAAGCGACTAACATCACTCAGCATGCCCAACTGCAAGAACTGCAACCTTTTTCTAATAGCAGCTAGTTGATAACTGCAAGCAGATGGGATCCCATACATGCTGAGTTCTACACAACAAGCAGTCATTCCACATGCCTCATTTCACTCATTTGCTTTAAGAAGAGGTAACGTGCTTGCATTTTAACCTCCAAGCAGCAGCAAGGAACTGAACATATTTAAAATTCCATTTGAATATAACATATGCAGATCCCAAACAGAAGTTGGGAAGGAGAGGGAGGGGTTGGCGATATCTTAAAATTAGATACTGTGCAATACTGTGTTCTCTAAGTGCTACCGAGCAACAGGTGTGATGATCACTGCAGAATACAACACAACATTTTCTAGAAAAGGCTATCAAACAATATACAATAACAAACAATCAAGTAATATAACAAGAAGCTTGAGTTTTATAGCAATAAGGTAAAGGTATTATCTAAAGTGTAACTAAGTTCTGTATCTTTAATTTCATAACTAAGTCAGTACAAATTGGATTGAGAAGGGGGAAGGAAGAGAGGGAAAAAAAGATTAACACACCCTAGAAATCTAAATCCTGTTAACTCGTAACTACTCTAAAAATAAAGAATTCAGTAAGTGAAGTACTCTTAGTAATCAATAAAGGTCTCTACTCCAGGCAAACTCAGATAAGTTAGCTGTTTATATAAGACAAACTGCAAAATGCATTTACTTTAGAGAGATATGGAAAACATACCTACCTTGATATACTTGCTACTAAATGACCTTTCATTCCATATCTATAAAGCAAAAGTAAAAAGCTATTTAGCAAAACAGGATGTGTGAGAACATAATGAAAGATTTCATCCACAAGCTGACGCAACCGCTAACGAATCCCACTGCTTGGGCTTGCTAGAGGACAGGGCTGCAGCTGCTTATTAGCTCTCCAGGGGAAAGTTCTGCGTGAAAGTTCAAAACAGGTGCTTGTTCATCTGACTCCCAGATCCACTGCCTGCCTTTTTGCTGAAAAACCTGCCACGCTGCCAGGGCTCAGCGACAGCAGCGCTGCACACTGCAGGGCAGCAACTGTTAGTGATCACCGGGACACACATCGTGGCTCAAGATGCAGTCCCACAGAACTGGCCCCGTTGCCACACACATTCCAGCCCTCCTGGGTATTGAATTGTAGCCCCCAAGTATGGAATGATTATCTACAGTTTTAGAAGATTATTCCAAGACATTGTGTGGTGTGTTTTTCTTTTTTTTTTTTTCTTTTTTTTTTTTTAATTCCCAATTCACACAGGACTATATTCTTATTTGAACATGTTGGGAGATAAGCAAACAAACATTCAAAATAGTTTCCAGATGCTGCTGCTCTGGATTTCCATCTTTTATGGAGTGACTACTTAAACACAGATCAAAGCTCAAGAGCCAAAATGTCAATTTTCCTCTCACCAAATACTCTGACCAAAAAAACCACACAGTCTCAGAAGTCTCCTTACTTTGCCCTTTGAGTGCAGCCTGATCATAATGCCTCATGTTCACCAGCAAAAGCTGGAAACATCCTTCTAAAGATGTAGATCCCCAGGCCCAGGCAGTTTCTTACAGGGGGATGTTGATGCCTGCTTGTTGTTGAGACTAGTGAAAACGCTCTCTCTCAAATATGCCTAGAGCTGCGTGTTCCCGGATGGCCAGTTCTAGGCAATGACTCTCAGTTCGCATCTTCCACCTCCCAAAAACCACACGCAAGTCAGTGCAGTTCAGGAAGAGTTAGAGGCCTGTTTCTTTGTAGGAAAGCACCAAGAAGATATTTCTAGAGTTTTACCCCAGTGCAAATATGCTTGGCTCATTTCTGGAAGTTATTAGTTGAAAAGTTCAGGTGATCATAATAACAGCTCCTGATACATACTTTATAGCACATGCAGCTAGTCAGAAGAGCCATAAAGGCTACTGTGTAGAATCAGAACATGGTTTAAAATGTTTTGATGGTTTTTGAGTTCTTGCAGACTTGACTGTTTTCTTTATGCTTCACATTACACCCACAAAGAAATCAGATAACACGCACTATCAGAGCACTACCCAGGAAAGCAGAACTTCATCTTTCTCAGAAATACAGAATTAAAAAAGCCAAATTTTGTATCAAGTAACAACAGGAAAGCCAGAACTTACAATATCTTCTACAGTAAGAGCATAGCAATAAGAAAATTTGAATGGGCACCCTCACCCCACCAAATTCACTGATTTGCAAGAGCATCACTGTGTCACCCAGAGTGCAACACTGACACAAACGAAATAAGTCTGCAACATCAAGGGAAACACATTCCAGAGATAGGCACCAGACATACCTTCCCCATTACAGTATGTAGATTTTCTTTAAGGGATAAGAACCATAACTTTACTCTAGGTTTTTACCTTTTCTGCCTTTCCTTTTCTACAATTCTCTCATTTCAACATTCAATAGCCTGAAATGAAGAAGGGCTCTTATCCACACTGATTTTTCTTAGTTAAGAAAAAAAGTTGATTCTCAATCAAATAATGAACTTGATTTCTTTTTTTCCCCCAGATTTTCTGTCTCCTTCCTCCCAGATCCAAGCTAGGGCAGTTCTCAGTCATTCCTCACTACTTGCATACATTGCACTGCAACACCATAAAACAATTACACTGTATTGCAATTCATACACCTTAAGCTGCTATAAATAACACAGTTAAATGGAATAAGATGTATGGGCTTGCCCTTCAGCAAAACAGCGGCCATATTTTATACTCAGAAGTCACATTAGCTGACCTTCACATTGGTTAATTAAGTTGCCTTGTCAGCTGGTAATCTCTGAAACTCGGGCAGAACAAGCTCAGTAGAAAATGACAAGCCAGAGTCTCAAGTAGATTTCAGAATTTTCAAGGTCTCTGGCAACTTTATTCTAGAACTGGAAAGGCAGGAATCTTGCTATTTTGTACTGTTTCTGCATTAATAGGGAAAGCAACTGTACAGCAACACTATCTGCCTTTCCACTTGCACTAGAAGGAAAAAACAAAATCCTGCAATTACAGTTTCTCCCTCCTTTTTCCTTCCCCTACTTCACCATAATCCTCGAGGCACTTAGGAATAGAAAATAATGAGAAATTATGCAGGCAATTGTGCATTACTAACCCCAATATAATCAATGTCCAAATCATGATACTGTTTAGCTCCTAATATCCAGGAAACGATATAGTAAACAGTAACATCTGGATAATCATAGGGCCAGTTCTCACCCTTCCCTATCCATGCAGGAAACGTCCATGGTAATCCTGTTAAGACAGAAGAAGCAAATTAATAAGGTAATTAAGGAGATGTTCTTCATTACTTCGAGAGGTAGCTGTAGATGCCTCTGCCTAACAAGAGAGGCAAGTATTAAGTTCATACATTTACAGGGAATATAATAAAACATACTTTACTGTGTCTTCTTCAGTTACATTATGATCAAACTTCTTTTTAAAATTAATCCCAGCATTACTAGAGAATAATTCAGTGTGTTCAAGTTCTGTTGTGCTGTATTAGCTCTAACTGAGATTATAAGATAACAGCTTATCTTAAGAATGAAGATTTTAAGATAACAGGTTACGAATTACAAAGAATCAGTGCTGAACACCAAGCACTGCACTGTTCTGAATATGACTTTCAAAAGAAGTTTGATTTGATCACAAAGGAAAAAAAGCTCTGTACCATGAAGAAGCATTTCTGAGGTTCAGCAGTTTACTGGATCTTGCAGAGCAGTCCATTACCCTAAGCAGATTCTCCAGTTCTTTCAGCTGATCCTCTAACACACCATAGGCTCAACAAATGCAAACTAACTCACAGGCCAACCCTCCTTCCTTTGTCAAGAGCTTGGTTTGGAGGAAGTTATTAATAATCGCAATTAATCTCAAATGTGAAGTTTACTGCCTGCCACAGTACTTATCTAAAGGAACACAACCAGCAAAACCTGCACGAAGTCACAACCTGCTGCTGCATAAAACAGAACCTGAGGTCTGGAAGGGGTGGGATGAGATAATCCAGAAAAGAGAGCACAACAGCCACTACCAAAGAAACCCTCATCTTTTTCACACACCTTGCTAAGCTTTTGTTCAGCACAGTTCTTTAGCAAACAGAACCGTGGCTGTTCTTTATCTGAGAGGAGCTTTTTTCAGACACTGCTGACACTGAACTGCTAAGCAAGGGGTTTGAACAAACACCACATGATTTAAATAATTCGTTGAAACTGGAATAGCACACACAGTTACACAGAAAGGAAGCCTTGTTTGGGGATAAAGTGTATACTTGCAAAAGTGGGAAATTGTGTGTGCATATGTCAAAAGCTTTCCTTTGGACATCATTTCTTCTTTCGTGCAATTTAATCATTTCATAATAAAACTTTATAAAATATTATTCATGTAGACATTTTATAGTAAAGAGCTTAACAAATAGCCAAGTTAACTATGAAAATCAGAACAAAGTGCAAGGCCCATTTACTTCTTGTCTGGTTGCTAAACTAGACAAGGAAAAGCAGTATTCAAGCAGCTTAAGATGAAGATAAAATAATTTAGACAGAAGGGCACAATCAAATTATGCAGTGCATGTTTTCTTAATTATATTGCACTCAACAGTTATACGGCAGCATGTCTTGAATTAGGGCTTGCTATTAAGGTACTTGTTTATTAAGGTTATGGTAAATTCTGCAACCACTATTAACACATACAAAAGGGAAACTGTTTTATGATACAAAGCATTAGGAATAGCATGGAACACCTGTATTTAAAATTCAAGGTAAATGTAGTTGCCTTAAAAGATAAGACATAAATGTAGGTCTCAGAAATTCATGTCCATCAGCTAACTTTAGAATTTCTTAGAAGAATTTATTAGAACTTGGCTGAAGACTCCAGTACATTGAAAAGTGCAGCCTTCAGCTTGTGACAAGTAGTGCAAAGTTATAGACTGACAAAGGGGAAAAAAATGTTTGATTCAGCAATGAGGGGAATTGCTGACGTTTGTGCCCAAGATTCATTAGAACTGAGATCTCTCAGGACCTGTGAGAAAAAAATCTCACTTCCTTTTTCAGAAGGTAAGTAAATGCCATCTGGCAACTCACTGTAAACCAGCTGAGTTATATCCAGGCTCATTACTGGAACACTTTGGGCAGTAAAAGGAAAAACTGCTCCCCTTCTTTCATATTCCATACTCGTATTTCCCATGACATGCATAACTCAGAGAGGAAGGTCCTCTCAGAACTCAACTAAAAATAAAGCGCAAACAAAGCAGACAACAATGTGGAATGGGAGAAGCAAGATTCACAGATTTGTAATAAAAACATATAAATGTACTTAGTGCTATATATGGCTGACAGTTATCCTTTCTGTAAATTTATTTTACCGTCTCATCCCCACCTTCCAAAACTACTTTAGACTACTATTCAGAAATGCAACTTTTGTGACAGATCATTTCATGCTGATTGCTTTATTTGTGTGATAAAGCCTATGCATTAACATCACTTAATACAAGTATGTAATTAGAGAGCCACAGGATGTTATGCTATTCTAAACAGATTATCTTTAAGCAAAACATAAAAACAAGCTGACCAAATACTTTAAGTTCTGCAGCATAAAGACATCTGTCTATTAAAACTAACATACTAACTGAATCAGGTATGAAGGTATGCAATTGACTTTAAACAAAAAAAAACAGAACACTATTTGAAGCAATTTACCAATCAGTTTAATTTCAGGGTTCCTCTTTTTCGCCTCTTTCATCAGCCACCATTCATAGCCCCGGAAGTAGTTCTCATCATTTTCATAATGCATGTGGGAGGGCTCAGTTCCATCTAGGAAGGAAAGAGGCAGCTCACAATTAGCTTCTGTGTCATTAGCTTCTATATATTGCAGTGTTTCCTGCATTGCTCACTGCTAGTGCATACAAGCACATACCTCCACTATGATTCACACATCCCTTGTAATTCACACCAAAATGAATACTGGGAGGGAACACACAAGATATGCTACCCTTCAGTGTTAGATCAAGAACAGCACAAGTTTAACAGTTGGGTTTTGTTTAGTTTTTTTTTTTTTTTTTTTTTTTTTTAAAGGAATTTACCCTCTTTTCCCAATAATCTATGTTCATGAGTATCTTCATCCAAACAACCACTATGAAAGCTACAGCATTAGGATCAGGAGCAAAACAGAAAAACCATGCATAGCAAATACAAGCACAAATTCTATCAAAAAAAAGAGATGAAAACAGTTTACAGTTTGTTCTCGCCATGAAAGGCAAGCCTGGAAGAGAAAAGGGAACTAAAGTTCTCTTGCTGTGAGAATAAACTGATTGTTATAGCTAACAATCTCATTTATCACTTCTGCGGTTTTCTGTGACTGCAGGAAGAACTTTTGGATTTAAAGGCTATGCAATGAATTCATTAGGGAAGAGATAAACAAACCAAAAAGGTGCAGAAATTTTGCATAGGAAGTCAATCCCTCTCTACATAAAGGTCACTTAACACTCGTGTATGCAACTGCAACAATTACTCATGCTAAACCAGGTGCCTAAAGGTTGCAAATAACCAGACTATGAACTTTTAAGAAGGCTGCTGAAAGGATACTGTTGTGAAATTACAACAGTGTAATTTCAACATATAAAATAGGACTCTTGCTTTCTTTTCATTTCAACTACACTTGATTATTTGGAATCTCTATTTGCCAGACATAAAGCAACCAGTAAGTTCCAAATTCAGGCTCCTGATCACAATGCTGAAGTCAGAGCAAGAGCTGGAGTTCAGTATGATAAGACAGATGCTTCTCACCATCTGTTCTCCTTCTAAAAGCTAGGAAGTCATGACAAATGCTTAACATCCCCCTTAGCCAGCAGAAAAAGTTTATCAAGGATGGTGAACATATAAATAAAATTTCATTTTCCTCTGACTGGAATTTGTTGACTGAATATGAAGTTCTTAAACAATGTAACTTTATTACGTCCATTTTCTAAAATAAACTAAAAAATTGAAAAACACATAACTAGACTAGACAGCTTTTAAAAAGTCCTAAAAAATGATGCTGTTTTCTATTTATTAACCGAGTCTCCTTCATGTTGATCTGTCAAGCAGATTCTAGAAGGGAAGAAAGGGAAGGATTATGAACAGTAGTCAGGTTACTGCTTCTCAGCTTCCCATCACAAGCAGACAAGCTGTTAGTAAATACCTATCACTCTCAGTTTGCCCTGCATGAAAATATAGCAAGTTAGGCAAATTAAATCAGCATATTTGCATTCTAAATTGGAGCCTGGAAAAACAGTGTATATCGTCAGTCAACATCACAAAGGTGTGGCTCCTTAATTAAAAGGACTGCAATTGCTTCTAATCAGCTAGTTTTATATTTTTACATGAGATACAAACTACCTCACCCTAAACAGGTTTTGCACAGTTTATATTGCAAAACAGGTGCTCGGGAAATTTTCAGCAATTATCAATGCTCTTAGAGCTTCCTTGATTTGGGCAGTGAGGAAGGGAGAGGGGTAAAAATACCTCATTTTGCTCTAGAACACAACCATTAACCACAGCATAGCGAGAACAATCTCCAGACTCTTAATTTGTTCTACCCACTAACATGTTACTTCTGACATTTCTGTACAAGTCCCAGCATACTACAGAGCTTATCACTATACTTCTGCTAAAGTGAAGTGTACAGAACCAAGAGATTAAATGAAAGGCATTACTTACTGCATCAATGCAATGAGAGGTTAAACCCTGCTCCCCCAGAATCCATACCTGTCGATTGTCCATCACCTCCAATCTCTACTTTCAGGATATGTAAAGAGGCACCAAAATTTGGCTAGAGAATAAGAGAAAGAGAGAAAGAGATTCCTACTGTTGACAAAAGGTGTACAATATTGAAGATACTATAAATTTAACAGTATTTGTTTTTAACATGCCCGTACAGGCAAATGTACAGTAGGTGAAATTTCTTTCTTAAAGGAAATGAAAGGTAGCTGACAGACTACAAGACACGAAGAATGAGACAAAGCTTCCTCCTGTGTATCTCATGATAGTTCAAGAGGTTTTGGTGAAACAACATATCTAAAAACTCTCAAGATCTCTCTGCTAGATCTTATTCAACCCAACACCTATTGATTCCTTCAGAAAACCTAGATTTGTAACACACAACTTTAGTGTTTAGTGTCCTAAAATATTATCGCTCCCTTTTCATACACAACACCTTACTCCATCTTTTACAATCCATTCCTTAAACTACACAGTAAATGATTTCCCTCCAATCCTGTGGATTACAGCCATTTAAAAGTGACATGACATCCTCTTTCAACGGAGTAATTTACAGTGCCAAAAGCAAGACAAGCTATTACTGTCCACTGCAATAATCTTACCCTGTATTAACTCGGGTAACTCCACAAGTCACACTTTGGAACTAAAGCAGCTTACAAACCAATATATCCCCTGAAGCACTGCACTTATGCTAGAGACCATGTTGGAACTACTGAAATCCTATTGAAATGAGGCAGTCTAGACAGCAGTTTTCACATTACACAAGTCTCTGCAGTCCAACAAGTCAACATTGTTTATTGTCTCAAAGACTCACTTCATGCAACTGTTATGACCTGCAAAAAAACCCACTAATTTTAGACACAAGAAAAGATGATCTAAGCTAACAGCAAAACACTTGAAATCCTGATCAAAATTACTTCAACACAATTAAGTTCCGTCACCTATCAGATATTTAATGTTGGCAGCTGTCAAATTCTTAAAGAAGGTGGCTCCTCTCTATGCCTTCAGAAAGAGCAGCATACGAGGCCACTAGCAACTCTTGCTGTTTGCATACAGCACTTCCTGTATGGGGAAAGGAAAGAGGTAGGAAGCAAAGAGGTAGGAAGCTTCATCTTCTGCATGAAGAAAAAGGCCAAAATACTAACATTGCAAACGCATGCATGTTACACAACAGTATAAGAAATTAAGATTGAACAAAAGTATTTAACATGTCTGAGACTTGTGTTTCCCAGCCGTTTGCAAGATTAGTAGTTAAGGGACCTTTACCAATGCAAGGTGTGAACTACTGACCAGACTTAAGGCTCGTGCTGATAGACCCAAAGCTCGTGACCAACAGTCCCACACGACCACACCACTCTGCAGCTAAAAGGCTGCTCTATAATCTGCAGACACTACCACGGTCTGTTTCTTTTGCCTGCTTTTCCACAACGTTTAAGTGCCAAGTCTAAATGACTATCAAGGCAATGCTCTCCAGGGCAGTTTGTCTCATTTCATTCTCAGGTGCCTTGTCCCAGCATCAGAGAGTAGGGAACCCCGCACAGAACCAGGGGCTATTAGAGTGATGACACAAACGTTACCTTGAATAGATAGTCTAGGATCTGGGTGCGATAAGGTTCTTGGTAGTTCACCAGCAGCCTAGAAGTGGCCTAAAACGAAAAGAAGAAAATATGAAAACTCAAACACTTCTAAGAAAGCACAGATGTTCTCATGTACCCAAACGCACAGAACTAAGAGCAGCAGCCGAAATCTGCGGGAACGCGAGACCCCCGTGCCGGCTCCGGCCCCGGCGCTGCCGCCCGGACGCCCTCGC